GTGTCGCTGCGTCGGGTCCTTGCCCGGCAGAAGGACGAGATGGGCTTCAACCTTTCCGCACTGCAATTCATCGGCAACCAGATCCGCGAGCAGAGTGTCACGGACTATATTGATGAGGATACCTGGGAGGAGCAGCAAGCCTCCAAGGGCACGGGCAAGAAGCGCCAGTTTGTCAGCGTTGCCTGAGTTTAGGATTAGGTTTGTGTACAAGCATGTCTATTGGCGTTGTGATCATTTTCGACCTCGTTACCTTGGAGGTTTTCTCTATGTTGGTTTCCATATAAAAGTTTTATATCCTTGGGAGTTGAAGAGAATATAAGGAATGTATTATAGTTCAATTTCGAAGTGAAATATAACCTTTTCTCTGGGATAATTGTCTACTGAATTTTCATAGACCCAAGGGTATCAAAGTAATAGAATAATTTATTCAATTGGTCTAGCTATTATATTCTTCTACGTGCAACAATCCAAGCAATCGATAATACCGGAAACGAATCAGAAATCTGAATTGCGAGAGACATCGTTAGCGATTTACTCCAAGCAATGTTGATCTGTCCAAGACCACAAAGAAACAACAAGCATCAAAGACTCTACTCAGGAGAACCAATGTAAGCATCGACGACAGGGATTTCAGCCCCTGTCATACCTCTTCCGGCTCTTCCTATTAAAATTCCGGTTCTAATGCGAATCTCATCATGATAGAGTCTGTTTGGTGCGATGTTTCCTTGTAGTCCTGTCAGGGGAGTTTAGTGCCACATACCTATTAGTGGGTTCTTCCAGCTTGGACCGAAGGTCAATCTCATTTATTGATCTTGGCCCACGCTGGACTTTGGTGTTGGTTGGAGCTAGAGAAAAGGAAAGAGTTTGTCGGGAGTTTTGTGAGAAAATTTGGCCCGGTGGAGCTTTATTAGTCATTCTGGTCACGTGTTGCTTTTGTATGGGGCTCTAGGTACTAGTGGATACGGAATTTGTATAAAGATTTGGATAATGTTCAATATTCAATCATTATTCATTTATATACCGGCATTTATTTCATAACGGTCATGATTCCATGTACAAGAAATGTGGTGGTGAAAAATCTCGAGGTATGGTCAAGAGGACGGCTTCATAGTCCCACAGCAAGAACATGTCCACCACTGGGTCTCCATAAAGCTACTGCACGATATGCAAACCCATCCAAGAGGCTTCTTATCTGCACCCCGGTCCAAGGATTTGAGGGTATCCAGTGCACGGGTTCGGTTCTTGAAAACAAATGTATCCCCGGGACTCGCTTTCGTCTCTTCCTTTCGACCAAGAGATAAACGCCTTTTCTTCGAGTTTCGTGACTCCGAACGCACTGGCTGGGTAGAATGGCGGCCAGAGGCGGATGTGGATGGCGTGTTGGTCGGAGGTGGTCGTTCTGCTGCACAGGCGTCACAACATAAGAAGGTGGACGGGTTCTCGAGCGTGCACATTGGGCAGATCCAGGGTGTCTCGTATGAGCTATTATCGGCTGTAAGATCAACAGCTTCATTGCGATCTGATGACGGGGCTTCTTTTGGAATTACAGGCAAATCTTCGGAGACTGCAGGTGGAATGTCGGAAGCAGCAGGTGGCGGTGACGATTTTGTCCGAGGTCCTGCCGGGTTTTCTTGACTTGGCGTAACATACGACGACTCATATTTCTCCCTCTCTTCTTCCTGTATCAGTTCAATGAAGGCCTCCATGATGGCCCGCTCGTTTGCGTCATCTTCCTCAGCCTGGGTTCTGAACCCATGCGAGGCCTCTTCCGCAAGTTCGGTGCTTCGGTCTGTACCAGAAGCACAGCCCTGGGTCACTTCAATACGCCGCTGGGCAGCGTCAGCCCGGAGCTTTCGCATATCTGTTCCTCGGAGCACGCGGGTGCCGCCTAGCTTCTTGCCGGAATTTTTGGCAAGAACCCTTCGCTGTTCAGCAGCGGCACGAGCTTGACGTCGAGCTTCATCCAGCGGAATTCTTTGGCCACCCAGACGCTTTCCTTGAGATAAAAAGCCCTCTCCAGTGTAGCCTTTTTGGGCTAGTTGCTCATGCTCATCGCGAAGTTGATTCCACAGCGCATGAAACTGCTGGTTGTGAGGACCGATCACGTTGTGGCAGAGTCTAAACTTTATTAGATTTTGTATTTGTAGGATATTTAGATGTAAAATCACTCACTCATGAAGCATGGTATCCAAAATCTGTTCAAAGGGGAGAAATTGCCGTTGGTCCGAGGGATACCGCAATCTTAGACAAATCTTCTGGCCCGCGTTGACGTTCAGACCCAGCAGGTTTCGCTGCCGCGGATAAAATTCACAGAGCGTGGCCACTCTCCAGGCGCGCTGTCGCATGATCGGTTTGACCAACGATGCGACTTTGCGCAGGATCAAGAGAGCCTCGGCTTCTCGGGGGAGGTTCTTTTCATGGCGATATTCTGATATTAGAGGGTCTAGCTCCCGCATTTTCGAGATTTTTGATCAAGACCTTGCACGATATGGTAAACAGTACACTGCTGGTAGGTTACTGCCTTCGTTGGGATGGCCTCCTCCGAGGCCAGGATCTAAGCAAGAAGATTTCATCAGAGCATGACCTATATGGCGGTGTAGGCAGCCAGGAACAAGTCAAAGGAACATAGCCAGTGATGGAAATTCCAGAATGAATCCAAGTTTGGAACATCCATGGATGCCCTGCATAACTAACGTCTGGATTCACCGCCTGAGATATCAGGTGGTGAATTCGATCACGTGACATGAATATACATCAGATGATGTTTTCTCAGTCATATACTTGTAGACACAATTCTGAATTTAATTGGAAGTGCGCTATATCTAGGTAACACTTGAGCTGGAGGATACTTGGAATGTAATTTCTATCATTTTTGGAGTCTCTTGTTTGCAGTTGGGGCCATCTTGTATTCAGATATATATTCACAGTATGTCAAATTAATACGATAGCTAAGTTCTTAAACCCAACAATCTGATACATTTCACTGCTTCCAAGCAAGAAAAAGCATAAAAATCAGGGTGAAAAAGCCGTAAGACAATGACTAGTCCTGTATACTTCCGGCGGCTTCCCGCCGTCGACTGTTTTATACAACCCGCTGCTCATGTGACCTTTCCGATAACACCGCGAGTGTTATCAGCATCCATCTTATCGAACTTTCGCTCTTCTTTTTCATTCCAACTTGTTCTCAAATAAACAAGATGACGAGCGACGACAAGTTCTTTTTTGACTACGTGAGTATGATAGAAGAAGACAAAGAATGCTTCCGGCGCTGATACTTCCTTACCCAGCTCTCGTCTATCTCCAATGACGTAAGGCGGTATTCTCTCGACGTCGCAGACTCGATCGACCGACAAGTCGACTATGCCGCGCACGCGATCAAAGATACGGTAGCCCAGCAGTCATGGATACCAGCCACTATTCGTCCGGGTCGTGCTCCCCCAAGAGTGCGATCGCAAGGCATGACGGACCGAGTGGAAAGCTGGATGACTCGGAATCGCGCATGGACGGCGGCTATCCTCGCATTTATCGGAACCGGCGTTGTCTTGTACTATGGAAACAAAAAGTTGCACGGAAAACGGAGAAAGGCCAGGAGGGCGAGCAGCGGCGCGAGGAAAGAGATTGTTGGTATGTGTTGCTTGCATATGATCTGCATTAGGATCCGCGTGCTAATTCTGCGATTATAGTGGTTGCCGGATCGCCGCACGAACCGATGACAAGGGCTATTGCCATGGATTTGGAACGTCGAGGATATATTGTATATGTGACTGTGACTTCCGCGGATGAAGAGCATATCATCAAGTCTGAGAACCGTGTGGACATCAAGGCTCTCTGGTTGGACCTTACAACTGTAAGTGCTGTTTGTGTATCCTTTATTCGCGAGAAATCAACTAACATTGTAACTAGACATCCTCATCGCCGGCCGAAATCCATCCTTCGTTGCAAGAGATTCGCTCCTTGATCAGTCAGCCACAATCACCCATCGCCGGAGTGCCCCCGCACACCTGCCAACTGAGTGGTCTTATCGTGGTCCCATCGACCAACTATAGCGCAGGCCCTGTCGCAACCATTCCGCCGTCATCGTGGGCCGACACGGTCAACACCCGTCTCCTCTCGCCTATTCTCACAGTGCAGGCATTCCTCCCCCTGCTGACTCTCCGCAGCAATAGCAGCACTATTGTCTTTGCCTACCCCTCCATATCATCCTCGCTTTCCGCGCCATTTGCTGGACCTGAAGTCGCCACAAGCCGAGCAATCTCAGGCTTCGCGGCCTCGCTTCGTCAGGAACTCCGTCTCCTCGAACAAGGCAATGTGGATGTCGTCGAGCTGCAGCTGGGCAATATTGACCTAGGACCTACATACCGACATGGTCAGAGTCAGATAGCAGGTACAGAAGTCCTTGCGTGGAATACCCAGCAGCGAGCCCTTTATGCCTCACAGTATCTGTCCAGCGTTGAGCAGCGCCCAGTTGCCTCTGCTGGTCCCAGCACCATACGCGGATCCCCGGCGCGGAAACTCCATCACGCTATTTTGGATGCTTTGGAGCCCACCTCGCGGGATATCTTCGGCCGTAAAGCGTCCAAGAAATCTGTCATGTATGTGGGCCGGGGAGCTCGGTCGTACAGCCTGATCGGGGCCTGGGTTCCCAGTGGACTCGTGGCGCTGATGATGGGGTACCGCAGTGGGAATGGGATGAATCCCGAGAGCCCGAGTGGCAGCGGCAGTGAAACCAGCTGGGAGCGGGTTTAGACCCGTGTACACATCTCGCTTCATTGGCACTCCCATCTTTAATATATCAAAAGCACTCGCTTTGAATAATGCTTTTTCATACATAATATCATTGGAAATACTCTTCGCTCTTAATGATTTTGTTATCCACACCACATATTGACATAGTCTTAAAAGCCATAGAAACTTTTTAGATTAGTCGCTACCTAGTTGGGATATCATTGATATGATGCAGCGCCATCCCCTTTGCTATCAGAAGAAGAAAGAAAACAGACCTAGACCGGCACAACCTTCCTCTCATTGGACGACTCACCAAAACACGCATCGCTAAAAGCCTCGTGCGCGCACAGCGGGTCCCGTCTCGCCCGCTTAATCCCACCGCGCGTCAAACGACGACGCAAATGAATCAGCGCCCAGGAAACGACGAAGAAAACCAAGACCGCAGCCAAAACGCCGAAACAGTATCCCGTCACAAGATTGCTCTTCTGCCCGTGGTTGCCGACGTCGAGGAAGGAGTACGGGTACCAGCCCTCGGTTTCGTGCGTGATGTATGCGACGCAGAGGTACAGCAGGAGTATGAGGAGTAGGAACGGGATCGCGATGAAGGGGTGCGGAGCTGTGGCTGGGAGGATGATTTCCAGTAGGGCGTAGACGGAGTTGAGGACGTGTTGGGAGATCTGGAGATGTGGGTTAGCTAATGTGCCTTGTATTCGATCCTTTTTTTTGCTTTTTGTCTCCACATCTGCGGAGTAGAGGAGTGTTGCGGGGTTGGGGTGGGGTTGGATTGTGATATGAGCTCTGTTCATGTGGCGGGGGATATGTTGGAAAGGAAGTATAGAGGCAAACTCGAAAAATATACGTACATTTTGCCAGCGGGTGAATGGCTCCTTGTACCACGGCCGAGCGAAGAGGATAGCCCAGAAGACAACCGTAACGAGAATCGGGAAGGTTGTGACTGTCACATACAATAGACTGTGTAGCACGCGGAAGACCCGTGGCCAGCGGTCGAGGAGAACCGAGTGACCCGTTCGTACGTAGTAGGCTGTATGGATGGCGGCGAATAGCATGTAGAAGCCAGTACCCCAGTAAGTTAGCCAGGTGAAGTAGCTGAAGGAGTGACCAATGGAGGCGGGGTCATCGTGGGTGCCATACCAGCACCAGAAGATGAAGATGGAGGCGAAAATGTACAGTGAGATCAGACCGCGAAGACCGGCGAGGACGGCGGGGGGTAGGATCCAAGATGTCTCGAAATGGTGCTTGACATCGGTAGTCTGGTCAACCCCGAAGAGAGTTGCCAGCGAGCGTCGAGGCATGTTGTTGCACGTCTTGCGATTTCGTTGTGCACTGGGAGGATTGAGGCCGAAGAAGTAAACAAGCAGGAAAAGCAAGATTCAGCTGTACATGTAGGTAGGCACTGTTGGGATTGGAACTGGGGTAATTAATGCTTGCTTTTTCCCGCGATATAGGGCGACCTCGCAAGCCGTTTTGCGCCTTTAGGCGTTTGTTCACGAGGACTAGAGCCAGTCGTGCAGGTGCTTTGCTCCCGGTCTCACCTCTATCCCCACAAGCGCTGGCCATACATAGCGAAATGACTTTGAAGGCTTGTGATTGAATCTGACATTGAATCAGAATCAGGGGTGAGTCTTATAATGTATGACGACATCCGAGACTTTGTCTCTCGGACATATAGCAATAAGTTAGATACAGGAGTAATTTATGCCATACTACTACTTATAGTCTCACGGTGGATACAGACTGGAGTATAGTCTGAAACAAAGTCTACGTCTAGTCAGGTCTACAGGCCAAATATATGCGAAACAGATTGGTGTATTCACGCAGTAAGATCCTTAGCCGTGAAAATAATATCTCTTTCACTCATACTAGGATCAGGCGGGTGCCGCACAATGGATTTGAACTCTAGCTCTAGCGGAGCATTCTGAACAGTTCCTGAGGTAATAACGCTATCAAATGGCTTCAGCGACATTTGAATGCAGAGAGAAGCTGCTACGCGTCGATCCAGCCAATCTGCTCTGAATCGGATGGCCAGACATCAGAAAGAACCTCGAAGAACATGTCTCGACGACTTCTTGGAACTTGTTCACCGGCCGCGGTCTGGGTCGTAATGAAGACGCCCCGGTTGTCTCCCTTGAACATCCGTCTCCTGCGAGATAAACAGAAACTCTTTAGAAGTTGAGTTACCCGTTTGGCATCGATAACTTACTGATTCCAGGAAGTCGTTCTGAATGAGAGCTTCGATTGTCTCAGATCTGAGATAGAACATCGGCTCTTAGGGCGGCTATCTCATGATATTTGAGATTGAGTTGACCGAAAGATAGGAGGCCCGCGCGTGAACCTAACCCAGCCTGAAGCTAAAGGTTTAGTGTCTTATAAGAAAATAGTGTGTGATGTGACATACTCTGAGGTATAGTTGGCGGCTATCTCATAATATTTGAGATTGATCTGACCGAAAGATAAGAGGGTCGCGCGTGAATCCCACCCACCAGCCTGAAGCTAAAGGGTTAGTATCTTATAAGGAGATAGTGTGTGATGTGACATACTCTGAGGCATAGTTGGCGCAACCTCCGGTAGAAGTTAATCCATTGTTCGGTACTTGAATTCATCAAATCATTTGTGTGATGGTGTGTGCGACGATGTAAGCGATTGGAAACATCCAGAGAGAAAGAGTGCAAATAAATACATTTATAGTTTGCTCAGTTTGTCGTTTGCTTACTATGGCATCACAACACAATATCTTACTAGCTCTGTATTGTGTGGTATGTGTATCTAATCATCACGGGTTTCAATACGGTAGGTGCTTCTAGGCTTCTACTTCTATAGAGCTGATCTTATGCAGTCTTACTTAAGGTTGTTATCAGCTCTACTCCGTACAATAGACGGTATAACTAGGCAACAATTATACAGTTATGTATTTTTCAAAATGATGTCTCATATTATTTGATGTTTACCTGTAATATCCATTATTAACTGGTGCAGTGGTTAATGAGCAAAAGCCTTCTGATAGAGATCCTATACGCTTTTATCGGCTGTTCGGAGACAAACTAGAAAAACAAATAAGCCAAGTAAAATCTATAGCAAAATTATTTAAAGAACTAGAAGAAGTGAAGCAAGGAGGGTCTATTTGTCACTTCTCCCATGCCTCGGCCATGATCCATCAAGGTTGGCACTTCGTATACAAGGTTTAGGCCACCCGTGGACCCGGGGGTGTTGCTGAGTAACCTGCAACATTATGCCTAATTGGGGATAGTGCAAATCACGGACCATGGTTGAGTTAACTCGCAAAGGCCGCGTATATAATTTCTATGGCGACATCTGAGGTTGTAATATAGTAATTGCACTATCAAAATAGAAAAGAAGCCATTATACAACGGCCGGAGGATAAATCCCTTGAGGCTTTATATCCCCATCCCATTCGGAACCAGTTGAAACCCTTTTAGTAGTGTGGTACCCGCTCTCGTGGCTTGCAATCTAAGTAGGGGATGGTCTCACTTCTCTCAACCATTGGTAAAAGCTCGCCCGTCCTGATTTTTATATGTGACTAGGCACCAGTTTCTTCCATGTCATAATCGAGAGCAGGCATAACTCATGTGAGGTGGTTTCTTCAGATCAGCATATGATGAAACCACCCGTGTGGGGAGAGACGGCAGAGCAACTAGGATTCTAGAAGATAGCGGGTCAACAAAACACTCAGTCCTAGGGAGTAGGAGAATACTTAGGGAAATCAATAGTAGGCTTCCAAGAGTATATGTTCCAATAGAAGAATCCGTAGCCAATAACAATACATAATATGCGTCTGAATGTTATTCTTGGCGACCCTCCCCCCTGAATAAGTGTCCCCCCTGAGACGATCCCTTGTCAAATGTCGAGACACAGTGGAGTGCGACTGTTTTATTTTAGTGCACGGGGCGCCTCTATTTACTACTTGCCCTCCCAAGGTTTGGCAATTATGATCGTCCGCCCTTCATTTTTCTCCTTTCTCCTTTCTCTCCTCTCTATACCTCTCCCCCAATGCCCTGATCTTTCATTTGGCTTCGATTCTGTCTGTAGGGCTGTCATTCCTTTGGCTCTATTTTATCGCCTCCCCCGCCCGAACCCCCTTTGTGTGATCCGCAACCCCGACCTCGTTCCAGACACTCTTCTAGACTACTTCGATGCTTCCGGCGCAAATCTCGAATCCAACCGAATCGGGATACATGATTCACTAGCCGACTATTAAATATTCATATACTCATCATGGATATGCGAGGAAAACTGGGCGAATATCGCTCCAACTCCCACGATAATACCCTGCGGAGTGGCTCCCCACGGGTGGCGCATTTTGACGGCGAAGTTCCTCCCGCACTTTCCCCCCCTCGACGCATTCGCCGCTCAGAGTCGATTTCTTGCCCGACAACTCGATGAGTCTCGACGGGGAGACCGCCGTATGAGTCGGCTGCCACCGGCGAGTGTAGCTCGATCTCTTTCGCAAGGCCGGCCGGGCTTCTACCGCTCCAAGTCGTCGGTTGATCCCCGCACCCGCACCGAACTGACCCGGAAACCTACGCAGAAGGGACTCCCAGAGTATGAAGAGCCCAAGCACCGCCCTATATCCGAACATCCTCGATTCAGCTCCATCTCCAATGCTACCACCGAGGCTAGCTTTTACGAGGATAATGATAATGTGACGCCGCGGACAACGACGCCTAATATTAGTGAGGAAGCGCATGAAATACCGCGCACCGAGTCACCAGAGGATTTCACGTCACGTCCGAGTGGAGCGGAGGGTGCGCCTGTTGTTGTGGCGGTTGCGGATCCGCAAGGTTCATCGATCGACTCATCAACTTCGCGACTGCACATCCCACGCACCTTGGCACCGCCGGTGTCACCGCGGACGCGTCCATCCAGCAGTGCCAAGGTTACACACCATGAGAGTTCTGATGATGAATACAGCAGCTCCAATGGTGGGTCGACGTTCTCCAAACCTCGCAAGCTGTCAGACGGAAGTGCTGTGTCATTGCCGTATTCTCCCATGTCGACATTCCCTGCACGACCACACCCTCGATCGCCGTCCTTGAGCTCGGAAACATCAGGAACGGGAACGAACCACCTACCCCGCCCTTCTTTTAATTTCTCTCGACCGCTGAGTCGATCAAGTACGACCTTGTCTGCTCCTGGATCTTCGACGCCTACTGAACCGATCCTTGCCTCGGAATCGAACCATATGACCCGTCGCGGCAAGCCGACTCCGCTTCTCTTGCAGCTTTCGACCGAAGATGCTGCTGCAGTGGAAGCCATGGACGGCGAGCCGTCGTCCGCCATGTCGTCTTATATGTACGCCAAGTATGCGCTTCCGCGCGGACGCTTCCTTTCACGGGATTCCGTGGTCTTTGCAGGCTTGCAAACGCCTCATTTCGAGTGGGAAGAGCCCATATTTGAGAAAACGCCTCCCCGGCATTCAGAGGAGCCAATACGTTTGGCACGGACGCCATCCCCTACGCCCCCTCGCCAATTAGAGCACTCGCCCAAGCCTCGCTCGATGCACGAAGTCCCAGCTTCTAAGCCTCAATCTCCACCTCAATCCCCGCCTCACCCTCAGCGCCAGCCTCAACCTCAACTTCAACCTCAAACTCTCAAGTCTCGGCCTGTTCCCGACTCACCAGTGGAGCCGGTATTACGGCCCTCTGCTGAGAGCACCCGACCAACGAACAATGACAGGGATGAAACTGTCTCTTCTGCGGATTCGGCTAGCACAGTGCGACCCCAAGCCCCCACCGCTCAGGTCTCAGCTTCCGGCCTTACAGCCGACGAGCACGTGGCCAAGGGTATTGAATGCCACGAGCGAGGATCTCTGAGTGAGTCGACGTATCATCTGCGGATTGCCGCGAAGCAGGACCATCCAACGGGAATGCTGCTTTATGCGCTGGCCTGTCGACACGGTTGGGGCATGCGATCCAATGAGAAGGAGGGGGTACGATGGTTACGCAAAGCTGTGGATTCTGTCGGATTGGATATGTTGGCCGATCCGGATGCTCCCGGTGCATCGAAGGCGAAGGAATTACAAAAGGCTAACCGGGTTCAATTTGCTCTGAGCATATATGAACTAGGCGTCAGCTACTTGAATGGTTGGGGTATCAAACAGGACAAGGCTTATGCTCTGCGCTGCTTCGAGATCGCCGGTCAATGGGGCGACGTTGATGCCATGGCCGAAGCTGGATTCTGCTATGCGGAGGGTGTTGGCTGTAAAAAGGATATGAAGAAGGCGGCACGCTTTTACCGCCAGGCTGAGTCCAAGGGTATGAGCATGGTTGGAAACAGCTGGTACGTTCTTCCTGATATTTACATCCCGATCGACGTCATTAACAAGTATAAAGGATCTACAAGGACAAATACAACGAGGAGTCCAATGGACGCGCCCCCAGTGGACGCTCCCGTGGCCGAAATGCCAGCGGAGAGAAGGACAATAAGCCACGCAGCAAGTCCCGCACTCGCAGTATCTTCCAACGCAAGAAGTCCAACATATCAGAGGCATAGACTGTCTTCTGTTCTATTCACATTCCTTTATCTCGACGCGTTCTGGAGTTATCGAAGTACCATCCATTTTGCATTTTGCATTATGTTTGGAGCGTTCTGAGCTGATCTTTGATTTTTTTTGCTTTTTTTTTTATAGTCGATTCTTCGACTTACATTCCTTCACTTTCTCATGTTCAAACTTTTCCTTTTATTTTCACATTTGCATCTTCATCCTTTCTTAGCCGCCTGGGCAGCTGTTATCGAGCATGGACCGACTCTGTGGTCCACATGTCTCGCAGGCTTAATACTTCACTTCTCCGTGTATACCCTTTTTCGTTTCCTCCCATCATTTGCCATTTTTGTCTCTCTATTTTCATGGCACCTTCTCTTACCAATTCTCTTCTTGGTCATATTTCTTGGGTATGACCCCCTGGACAATTTTGTTTGTCATATTTGTTCTCTTATTTTGCTGGATGCCTCAGTGTGGCGACTCATGAACTCATGACAGAATCAAGACAGCGTTGATCTGTATCTTTTGGACTTCCTAGGAGCATTTACTTGATCTTCTCCAAATTTTCAGTATAGAAAGCAAGTAACAGGGTCTCAACACCTGACCCCCCGCATTGTTCCCCGGCTTTTGTCTCGGAGCATTGACTAAAAAGTGTCTAGATCGGCCTCTTCTCCGGGCTTTGACGCCCTAAAACACACTGGCGTCCTTGGGGTTATGTTTAGCGCGGATTATTGTGGATTAGCGGGGGTTCTGACTGGACTAGCTCGGCTTTTCTCGCCGTATAAAACCTGTGAATACGGGGGCACGCTCCTTGCATCCAGGGTCGCCTCCCTTGGCAGCACGCTATGTTGCTGCTAGTGTCGCCGTCCACCAATGAGGATCTTGCTCATTCAATAATCAAGTGTAACGGTACTCTATATGAGTATTTCTGAAAAGTCTTAATCTCCCACGACATTTAGGAAACGCCCCGGTAGGACAGATGCACGCGTCCTGGAATTGTTGGTATTTTAGTCCACCTCGGCTCTTGTCTTTCATGTGGTGATGATTACTCGTACTCGTAACCTGATTCTAAACATCTTGATCGCGTCTTCCCGGAAATCTGGAGTTCCCCGCTAAAGTGCCACCTGGACTTCTATTCTCCATATACAATTGGAGAAATAACAAAACAGCAAAATAAAAGGAAACCAGAAGAAGACTCTATCATACTGACATGCATCATATTTCCCCTTTCTTTTTGTAATTGCATTTGGTGGCTTTTTTCAGGTCTATAACATGTGACGCTAGAATATACCCTGTTAGTTCTTCATTTTAGGTCTCAGTCTTTTATTATAAAGTACGGATTACTACCCACGCTCTTTCAGGGGTGCTTGTATCACTCTCATTGGTTTTCATTCTTTTTTCCCCCTCGCTTCGAAGCTCTTCTCTCTTTTTATAGGTGTTTGCTCGACTCGACTCGGTTTGTACATGTCTTGCGTAGACTCTTACAGTTACAATCCCTAATGCAAAAACCACAGTAACAAGAAGATGTCGACTACAAAGCCCTCATTCGTCGAACAGGAAGCCAGCGTAACCCCGACGCAAACGAAGAAGAGCTTCGGCGCGCGGCTCGTCGCCCATTTCAAGAAATGGTGGTGGGTGCACCTGATTATATTCATCGCCTGTTTCCTAATCATCCTACTACCGGTGTAAGTCCACCCTTCCTGATATTCTCAACCGTCTTGACCTTCAGACGGCCCGGAAGGAATCATCCCACTCACATACAACTGCCCCGTCTAGCGTCTACGTCGCCTACCCCAAGATCGCACAAGACGCCGTCAACGACTCGACCCTCGCCATCACAGAGATGATCCTCAGCGACCCAACGCCCAACTCCTTCTACCTCGAGCAGAGACAAGTCCTCGGCTCGAAAAGCTCTTACCACCCCCAGATCTACGCTTTCAATTCGTCGGTCTCGCTGGCCGGTGCGGCGGCTCCGTTCGCGTATGTTACTGTCCCCGCTGTGCAGTCGAAGGACGGGGCGGAAATCCACTTCGAGCAGAGGGTTGATCTGACGGATGCCGATGCGTTCGCGGATTATACTACTGCGGTTATGTTGAATGAGGAGGTTTCGTTGAATATCTATGGAAGGCCCGGGTTGAAGCAGGGTGGTTTGCCTAAGACGACGGTTGATTATAACAAGACTGTTGTTATGAAGGGTATGTTTTTCTTTCTGGTTTCGTGATTCTGGGAGTAGAGGAGAAGAGGAGGGTGTGCTAACTGACTCGATTAAACAGGCTTGAATAAACTCAAGGGCTTCAATGTGGCCGAGTTCTTCATCATGTTCCCACCAGTGAACGGATACGGGATGAACGGCACCGTCATTATCCCCAATGCCTCGGTCATGACCATTCCAATGGTGATTACTCCTCTTTCCGTACATCACATCCCATTATTCATCCCCACGACACTAACCCAAAGAAATAGGGCAACGTAACCCTAGACCTCCAGCTAGACGGAAAATCAGTAGGAACAACCTACCTAAACAACCTCGTCCTCAAACCAGGCAACAACAGCGTGCCAATGCTCGGCAAGGTCGACCAAACCGCCATCATCACCCTGCTCACATCAAAGTCGAATCCCTACAAAGACGGCATCCTGCCCTTCGATATCACTGGAAATGAGACATCGTATAACGGCAAGGACCTGCCGTACTTCACCAAGGCGCTGGCTGCGAATACTCTGTCGATTAAGTTGGATGTTCTGAGTGCGCTGAAGGCGGCGGGCATCAATCTTACGCTGTAGTGTATACCATTTCTGTTTATGCTCATGGTTCATGTTCTACGTTCTACTTTCTATATTGCACTACCGTGACCGGTAAACAGATTTGGTGGTTGGTATGTGCTGCTTGGAGGTTTGTTCACGTTTGTGTATATTTAATACCCTTTTTTTGTTATCAGCATATACGATGGATATAATTTCCAGTATCTGGGTTGTTCCTTAATAAGAAGTCTAGACTGAGGGATATGGTGCTCGAGGTTTTGTGGACCATTCATGAAGGATTGGCCGGCGTAAATCGAGTAACGAAATATCCCGCTCTAGCTTGTCCAGTATAAAAAGACCCATCGTATTTCCAATTCTCGACTTCAAGTAATCAAGGGTGTCTCTGTAAAACAAAATGAAGTAATCTTGAAGCCAAGAAAAGAATAAGAATGACCAGGAAGAAAAGAAACGGAAGCCGCATGACTCTCCAGTCACCCTGGTCTCCTATCAGTTGGCATGTGCGGTTGTCTGATTAGTCGAAAATAGAACATATCCCACAAACCAGCCTGCAGGAACTGTTCGATATCTGTCCCCCATCCCCCTCGAGGGATTTTGGGGCACTGCACTTGATATCCCCCAATCCATGAGATGACGCTCAACAACTCATCCATGAAGAAAAGGGTAATTGGGGGAATTTTGGGACGGAGCTGTTGAGATCGATGGAAAAGAAGTTCAAAGGGATATCACAAGTCTCGATCGATTCCCATTTGTTGTATTATATTCAGTAACCACATGCATTCAAGGATTGCTGCGTCAAATGTGAAGGAGTCAACTGCTGTGCTGCTTCTTGCAATCGTTTCTTCTTGCAAAATGACCAGCTAATCGGGCCCGGTCCGTTGCGGTGGCGTTCACTACGGCTTCCTTGGCAAGCTGCATGAACTCAGCCAGGAAATCGGAGAAACTCCCTCTGGGTTTCATCTTCAGAGTAGTGCACGTCTTGGCATGGTGGTTTGGGTTCACAAACAGTGTCCTTGGAATCAAGGTGCTCGAGCTGGAACCCATGCATCGAAATCTTCCTCACGGCGATGGCAGTTCGTTTGCTGTATTTGCAACTCTTGAGATTTCGCAATCCGTTCACGCGTGTCCCGCCAGATGTCTCGTAGCTTCGAAAGGATATCCATTGCTTCCTGTTCGTTGTGTGTCGGGTTCGTATCCCTCCAATAAAAAGACATTGTGGGCTCGTATCCTCGTACGATGAAGAATAGGAAAATCTCGTGGTACCCTGTGGGAAGATCAATGCTGCAAAGTCCACCATGGGTAGGAATTCTGACAAATTATCCTGGTTGGATTCCACGTACGGCCGTAGTATCTGGGCCATATGCTGGTTCGCGATTGCGCTCCGGCCATCGGTCTGCGGGTGGGAAGTTGTTGATGGTTTCTGCTTGACACCAGGGATTCTGCAGAATTCCGTCCGCGGAGTATGATGTGGAACTAGGATTCTCCTTCGTAACAGCTCTGCACGTAGGCTCTGTCCTTCTCTTTTCAACGCGATCGAGAGTTTTCGGTAGACGGGGAGATGGGTGATCCGGGTTGGCTTCTAGCTTCTGGCGGATCACCGTCTCCCAGGTTTTGAAGAGAACTTGGGGCGTCTGGCATCTTGTCTGACAGAGGTACGTGATTTGGTACAACCTTTTGCAGCCTCAACCTAACCACAGACACACCCCGGCTCGTTCATGAAACAAAGTATGTGAAAGCTCTGAGGAATCTCAAATAGTCGCAGATCCGGACAATCTCAGTTTATATCAATGGAGTACAACAGCTTCGATCATGGGACAGGCTGAGGCCCGACTTCGGAGTTAGCATGAACGCTCGATTTGGGGAATGGGAAGCCAAGACGATGAAATGGATATTGCATAGATTCTCGCTGTCAGTACCTGGCTTCAAGTGGAAGTTGGGAAGTCAGGCTTGGAAGTGGAAATCATCATGGCCAATGCAAGAGTGGGAAAGACGATGTGAGAGATGAAGAAGTGGAAATCTAGAGAGATGGTATTTATATGGCAAGGGCAGAAAACCAGGCAAACATGGGATTATCTTACATGTGATTTTTCTTCCACGTGAGCAATGTGAAACAGAGGTAAATCAGGGGATATGTAGTTGTCAGTGAAAATCCAGGTATTTTACAGCAGCCTGCATATCCAGAGACTGTCTCTCATAGTTCTACCAGGAAGATGGTAGGTACGGCACGTTTTAGATGTCATCGCGCCAACCCATATAATTTCTTTACCGCTTTTTTTTACCGCCTTGGTCTCATGACTCTCTCATCTGGACAGCGATTTTACTACTGGGACAGAGGTCGTTCTTGGTACTCCATTTTCAATATGAGTGCCCTTTATTATGGTATCGCCACTGTAAAAAGCACAGCATTTGAATAACTAGCATGCTTAGCCCTATTATTAAATGATCTGATCACCCGATCTGCTAAACATGATACGATCTGTCAAAAATGAAGCTATTCAGAGCTCACCTGATCTGTCGAAATCACCCGATCTATCTGAGATCGATCACATGATCTCTCGAACATCAAAAATCACGTGATCTGCCGGGGATTACCTGATCGATTAAATACGAGTGATCTCGCCGGCCTACGGCCGTCGAGATAGTCGTTGCAGAGCAAAGCGACTGATTCCAACTTCTAATGCTGCGCAAGGCCCCCCTCTTACTGGCTTATTGGCTTTACAGCGACCCCTCGGCTAGATTAATTCCCCTGCTTTTGTCATAATTCTATGGAGAAACTTGGTCAGGTGACCGGGTAATGTCACGTGAGTATGATTAAAAGTCACGTGATATTATATTATTTCTGGCCCCCTGAGAAGAAAATTGGCCACGTGACACGTACGTACATACCTAGGTACGACCTTCTGATTTATAATTGCTTCGCTTCGCTCCGCAATGAAGCTATTCTGTGATCCCAGACCCCATATGATTATGTGCGAGTGTGTGCCCTGTTATGTGGCCATTACGTGCCCGTGCGGTCCCGTACGGACCATTCTGTATACTTGGGTACTCCTGTACTAGATAGTACGGTACTTAGTCGTTGGCCTACCCAGAAACCATGCGATCCTCTTACCGACTACTCCGAACGGTAATCGTTGGATTATCACAGCGATCGACTATGCAAACCGCGCATTACATTCCTCTTATTGTATCATTCCTGCTAAACTATTCCAACGCCCTTCACCCACGAAAAATTGAGCTAATAAGAACCTCAACAAATGCCACCACAAATTTCTGTCCGTCCTTCTGAACCTATAAAGGCCCCCAGATATCCCGGCCATTTTCAACAAGAATCCGTACTTCTTGAATTCAGGACTAGCACATCATTGTCTTCAAATTACGGTCGCACTACTGTCGGGTATGGGTAACGTAATTCACAAGCGAGTGGCCACCACAAGCGAGTGGCCATCTCCAAAACACATAGTAAATGTGATAAATTATAACTTAGTATCTCAATAACGGTAGTCTATAGGGACTTGTCTTTATAGCATAGTACTTTATATATGGTATCTAGCATATCTAGGGAGCTTCAGGAAAATTGATGGCTTTATAACTACGATATATATATTTCTAGCTTTTAGGGACGTAATTTTCGGTAATTTTTGAAATAATAGTAAGATAGTATTCTATTCTCTTTGAAATTGATATATAGTACTAATAATTCTTATCAATAACTATCGACAAAAGGGGAGATAGGATGAATACATGGTTGTTGAGATATAAATGTGGAATATGCTGCATTTACTACGTGTTTTGGAGATGGCCACTCGCTTGTAGTGGCCACTCGCTTGTGAATTACGTTACAATCAGCGCGATTTTGTATAACGTAATTCACAAGCGAGCCGCCACCACAAGCGACCCGCTATCTCTAAAACATATAGTAAAAGAGATAAATTATAATATGATATTTTAACAACGGTTGTCTATAAGAGTTTTTCCTTCTAGCATAATGCTTTTTTCGTGATATCTAGCCACTCATTAGAGTATGGGGGGATTTAATAAATCAGTGATTGAGATATATATACTTCTAGGGTTTAGCGATGTACATAGTGTTCAAAAAGTCTGTTCCCACTGCCCCACTTGCTATCTCCCTAACAACCATCGTGTTTTTTTTTCTTCTTCCTACACACCCCCTAATGGTATTAACCAAGGATATTCTTGGTTTAGGTCGTACAAAATCAGGTGAGCTATCCCTAGCACAACGCTTAGCTATTATTTATAGCTATCAGGCCGGTATTACCCAGTCAAAGCTAGCACTCGATTTTAGGTGCTCCCGCCGAACGATTTACAATACTTTGAAACGGTTCAAAGAATATAATACTGTTAAATCTCTCCCTCGAACCGGTCGCCCAAGGATCTTTAGTGATCGAACTCGCTATTTACTTTTTATACTCGCCCGCCGACACCCCTTTTAGTCCTATAAAACGCTGAGTTATACTATACCTGGTCATCTATCCCGCTCTACTATTATTAACGTTTTAAGGCTAACCGGTCTTCTAAAATATAGGACAAAAAGGAAGATTCCAATCGGAAAGGAATTAGCTTAACGACGATATCGTTTTATTTAAAAATGGCGCTCTGAGTGGTCTAGAAATAACATTCAAAACTAGGTCTTCTCGGATAAGTATTCTATATAACGAACAATAAACTGCGGACCACAATGGTATTAGCGCTTTCGGTTAGAAGGCTATAGAAAAGATCTTATAAATGCTAAGGTATACGTTAAAGATATTTCACAAATGGTTTAGGGTACAATCTAGTTAGGTGGTCGATTAGAGTTGATTATTATAAGGTAGGAGAATATTATTAACCCAGAATTGAAGAAGACAGGATATACTGCTATTTCCTATATAGATACTCTCAAAGAAGGTCTACTTCCATTCTATCGACCCTACTCTATCTTTTAGTAAGATAACGCTCGGATCTATACTACTAAAATCATATAGGAATGGTTTAAAACTTATAGGATATATATAGAGGAGTAGCCGCCGTACTTACCGGATTTAAACCCAATTGAACCTGTATAGCGGTAGCTAAAGGTTAAACTTTTTGAGTTATTTCCTAAGCTAATATATATAGGAAGGTCTGAGGAGGATTGGATAGTATTCAAAAGGTGTATAAAGATAGTATAGGATGCTATTCCGCAGTCGAAGATTGATTCATTGATTTTGAGTATAGGGCGCAGATATATGGCAGTACGGAAGGCAAAGGGGTATTATACAAAGTATTAAATTTAAATTTTACCCGAGATTGGCATAGGGTTTAACCCTGTTTTATTCGAAGTAAATTGAGTAAAGTATGGTGGTGCTATGCATAGATATATAGATATATATATTTCAATGTTCATGGGTGAAAATGCGGGTGGGAACAGACTTATTAAACCCCACTGTATTTTTCGATACCATAACAATGCATGTTCTCGATTTATTCAAAACTGAGATATAATACTAAAAATGCTTATCAATTGCTATCAGCGAGGGATGAAATTAAATAAGAGCGTTTGTTGTTGAAATATCATGTTGTAATTTATCGCTTTTACTATGTGTTCTAGAGATGGCGGGTTGCTTGTGGTGGCGGCTCGCTTGTGAATTACGTTACGAACCGATATGAATGTTCAATGAAACTCGTGAATTGATTTGAGGTATGAGATCAAATCTAGACAAATTGATCACTTCACTGGACTGTTTCAGAGAGTGCACCTGCAAGCTGCCGTAGACCAACACTGACATCGCCGGGCTGAATGCAGCACTCCAAGAGGGCTAGTTTCCATGGCTCAAAATTGATCCGATCTAATGCTGATAGTAGATCGGCTTGTGTTTTGATTTGCATCGAGAAAAATGCCGGATTGAGACCCCGGTCTTTGTCCAATTGAGATGCGAACGGGTCGTTGCATGTTCTTGTATGCTTGGGTGTGCACATGGCGGAAGCGAATTTGGCATAGTTCCAATTGGCGATGTAATTATAGGGTCCATCATGAATGGCAGACTAGAAGCCGACAAGAAGGATGGAAAAAAACATTAGTAAAAGAGTCTTGCTTAATTCAAAAATGGAGAGGAAAAAAAGAGGATCTAGAAGCAGGATATGTAGCCTTGAAATGAATCGTAAGAACTTACCTCGATCTGATAACCCAGATTGTTGAAGACAAAGACTATCATGTTGGCTCTACTTCGGATGGCAGTACTTAGCTCTTGAGCAGTCATTTGAAAAGCGCCATCACCAATCATGAGGATTGTTCGCCCATCTGGGCGAGCTAGTTGGCAGCCAAGCGCAGCAGGTAGGCTCCATCCTAGAGACGCATAAAGTAGCTGAATTTGAAAGTTCGCTCCCATGGGGAGCGAAATATCGGCGGCATTGAACCAAGCATCCCCCGCATCAGCTATCAAGGTATCTTTGCTTGTAATTAGCTGTTGGATAACATCCACGATCCCACGCACTGTGAGAGCTTCGCCAGGCGCAGGACTGTTGACTCTGGTCTGTTCACGAGACTTCCATTGGAATGAAAGAAGTGTTTCTCTTTTGGGGGGAATTGAGGACCGCAGAAAAGCGCCAAGAACATCGGCTAGGCATAAATCTTGAAACAATCGACCAGACGGCATTCGTATGGATGTTTCCTGGATATTAATCATACGTCGGCGCTCCTCTTGGATATTGAGACCTCCCACCGTGTGCAAATCAGACCAACGGCCTCCAACTACCACCCAGAGGTCAGCGTCCATCACAATATCTCTACATTCGGGCTTGGAAGCAATGGCCCAAAATGTGCCCACAAACTGAGGGTGTGACTCTGGTAGCGTTGATTTGGCATCCGGCTGGCAGAAGACGGCGCAACCCAGCTTTTCGGCAAATGCTATCAGAGCTTCTGTCGAGAGGAAGAAGCGTGCCAGAGCACCAATGATCAAAATCGGCCGGTGCGCTGCATTCCAGATGGCAATCAGTGGGGATATAATTTCATCGACGGCCTCTGATTGAATTAATGATGGAGGCGGTGAAATCTGCAAAGGAGTTGCTGCATTGCCCACAACCCCCACTATATCGGTGGGAATCTCAATGTAGACTGGCAGTGATTTATGAATGCAATGAGAGAGGGCTTCATCTAGGCGGAGTGCGGCATGTTCACTGGAATCTAGACGGATTGAGGTAGCTGTGAACTCTTGGAATACACGCAGTGCTTGGTCCTTGCTCGCTCCACCTGTCGTATGATGAAGGAGACTCCCCTCTGTCAACAATTTTGAGCTTGGACAGCCTGAGATAATTATGATCTTAAGTCGCTCAGAATAGGCTCCTGCAATTGCATTAAGCAGTGATAGGCTCCCAACAGTAAATGTGACTACCACAACCGCAACTTTGGTAGGGGAACTTCGCGCGTACCCATCTGCAGCGTAGCCAGCATTCAACTCATTGCAGCACCCAATAAGGTGTAGGCTTGGGTTTTTCAAAAGTTGATCAAGTAGGGTCAGATTTGAGTCGCCTTTCAATGATAGTAGTTTTAGTAAGCTTGAATGTTGTGAAATATATGGGAATCTTGGCGCAAGTACCTGGGACGGCAAAGAAGTCCTTAACTCCCAGCTCTTCCATTCTATGGGCCAAGAGGGTGCCGATATTATGGTCTTTGGGTGAAAAGCTCGGGGTGATCAATGGTGGCATCAAGCTCGGTCGGGCAAATAGCTCAGTCATGCCCGCACTTTCAGGCATCCTCAAAACTATTCGACCTTTGATACTTGCTGAAGAGAAGTTTACGTTCCATGGTCAGCCTGGAGCGCGTAAAGAATTTAGTCAATTGAGAGTAAGGCCTCACTTACCTTTCTCCATCATATCATAGACTTGAGGTAATTGCTCAAGTTCCATGATCTGGCATTGCATGGCGAGGTTTTTACGAAGGAAGAATTTCAGTGCCTCCTCGGTATCCTCTCTGGTGCCAACATAAGATCCCTTGATAGTGATCATACGGATAACGACTGAGAAGAGGTCGGCCTTTATGACTGCCCCTGGCGGCAAGCCAACTAACACAATTGTTCCCCGAGATCTGATGTACTGCAAAATTCAGTTTAGCTAAATCACTTTTCCGGACGACTTATTACGTGGGTGCTGTTAGGAAAAAAAGATTGGAAGAGTTCATGTATCATCTCACCTCAACAGCCTGGGAGATGGGACGATCATCTGATGACACCACTACCACAGCATGAGGACCTCCGTTGGTAAGCCTCTGGATATCATGGGTGAGATCCTTGGAGCTTCTATAGTCCGCAAAATAGTCCACGCCCAATTTCTCACAATGCGTTCTCTTCTCAGCTCCACTTGATATTGCAAGTACTCGAAAACCCATCGCCTTCGCATATTGGCAAGCTAGGGTCCCGAGCCCCCCACCAGCACCAGCAATGGCTAATATAGCTCATCAGCAGTGAACGTGGATAGTTATAATTGATAAAATCACGACGAAATAAACGAAATCATACCAACGATATCACCCGACTGGGCGCCGGTCTCTTGAAGGGCGCGATAGACAGTTACCCCAGCGCAAAGAATCTATATTCAGGCGATTAGAAACACGCCATATTTGAGCTGGATATTTAGGTAAAAGAAACTAGATCACTTACGGGAGCAATCTTGTCTAAAGGCGCTTCTGGAGGAATTCGAACGGCACAGAGTTCCTTACAGACGACGTATTGCTGAAAGGTGCCGTCTCTGGTGTACCCAGAAAACTGAGCACCTGCACACGACCTCTGATCATTGGAGTCACAGGACACACAAGAACCACAGATACTGTTGATCCACTTTATGTCAAGTGGGCTCATTTAGTATACTTGAAAGAGTGGAAAAATAAGCAACAGGGACAAGCATTCTTCTCTCACCTGTATTCCAACATGGTCACCCACAGCTAAATCTTCAACTCCCTCTCCTGTCTTAACAACAATCCCCACGCCCTCATGACCTCCTTTAGGATGTCAGTATGGTCCTTTTGACACTTAAAAACTGGATAACGCCAATCAAGGGCATTGAGAGATCAGGTGCTTACCGATAAGACCTTTCTTCGGATCAAGTGGCCAGCCCCCTTTCCACGCTTGCAAATCCGAGTGACACACTCCGGAGTATTTGATATTGACGAGCACCTCGGTAGCGCCGGGCACGGGAACAGGTACTTGGGTAAAGTGCAACGCTATAAATATTAAACAACGAACGTAAGTTGTAAGGAAGAATGGGGCTTTGAAAAGGAGTAAATTTATTACCTGAACCACTGGTCTCAAAGACCTGAGCCCATTGTCTCTTTGGAATTTCAGTCATTCTTCCTGCTTTCAACTCGAATTATACTGTATCTGTCGAAAGGCTAGAGAAACGAATGTTGGAAATCGCACCAATTTTCGAGTGGAACTGATGGTGGGATAAGGAAATGGAATGTTGTCATTAAAACCAAAATTGGCCTGAAAAGAGTCTTCTTATAAGTTGAGCAATAAGTATGACCATGAATCCTGGGATGCAGGTCGTGCTATCACTATTGGATCGAATTGAGTACTCCGGTCTTACCACCCCTCGTCCTACCCTCCTCCTTAGATTCTTCTGCATTATATACCAAGACTGGAAGTGATTGTCTTGATCGACACCGTTTCAGTTCCTTTATTTGTAATACAACTTACTTATCTGCGGCATTTATGATTCAACTGTATACATGTGCAAGATAGAAGTCTTCAAAAACACCTCATTGAATGATTCGTTATCAAGCTAGATGCTATTTCTGAGATCCTAAAGATGGACCTGGGCATCATACAACAGAATTTCCGCAGTATCAAAGTCAAAAGTATTATACTCTACTTTTAATGGCCTTCTTGAAACCGTTTGATGTTACAAAGTAATATATTAGTTGGCCGTTCTACTGCTATCTCTATGTCTTTGCACATCTAACCTCGCTACCACACTAACGTGCGTGCCTACTTTCGGTACCACGCGAATGCACATGTCTAGTTTCGGTTTCTGGAGGCGGACCATCTCCTGCAATCGTCCAACAACAGCATAGACAAGAGAATTGAACCACATAATGATATCATTTACACATCTAACCTTGCCACCACACTAACGTGCGTACCTACTTTCGGTACCACACGAATGCACGTGCCGAGTCTCGAGTTTCTGGAGGCGGACCATCTCCTGCATAATGATATCAGGTCGTGTAATGGCTTTCGTCGCACAGATCATTCTCACGGCTTCACGTTTTGTCTGCCGATCAAATCAAAATGCAAGTCAAGAATAGCTATTAGATGAGTCATGTGTATTGAAAGTAACTCCATATTCACAAGCGTAACATACATCATTGAGGCTTGACCGTACACCATTATAAAAGTAGCCTAAAATATTCCCTCATATGTTTGAAAAGTGAACCCCATCATCCCCCCTCGCCGTATAGACTTTACGTTTTGCATCCAGACTTGAAGGCGGTATCAGCACCTTTGCCCAGAATGTTTCCTCGGTCACTCAAGCTTCTACGTGATGAGAGCTCCGTCAAGTACAAACACGTACATTGTACAACTATTGCAAAGAAGGCATTGCAAGAATCACTCAAATCGCCAGTTCAATCCTCGGGGCTTCATACTGGGATCTCAAAAACCGTCCAGATAGCCAACTTACCATCGAAAACGACCAAGGTTCTTGAAATGAAACATCGAGTGGTGCCAGTTCGTCTTTCGGGGTCTTCTATATCTACCAAGTCAGGTGGACAACTTAAGTATACCCTCGATCGATCTCTGATGAGTATGACTGGTGGCCAGATTGTGTGTGAGATGCTTCGAAGGCAAGAAGTTGATTCTATCTGTAAGTTGATCCTAAGCAAGGGAGAAGGAATTTGCTTCCTATTTTCTATGCACATCTCGATGATATAGGAGCTGACTATATAAACAATGAGCAGTTGGGTATCCCGGCGGGGCTATTCTGCCAGTCTTTGATGCTCTGCACAACTGTCCTCATTTCCGATTTATTCTTCCGCGACATGAGCAAGGGGCAGGCCATATGGCGCAAGGATATGCCCGCACATCCAGGAAGCCAGGAGTTGTTCTGACCACTTCGGGGCCGGGTGCGACGAACCTCATCACGCCTTTACAAGACGCGCTAAAAGATGGCACTCCACTGGTTGTTCTCACCGGCGAAGTCCCAACCTATGCCATGGGCACGGATGCCTTTCAAGAAGCAGATGTGATTGGCATTACGGGCCCTTGCACGAAATGGAATACTGTGGTACGAGACATCCGGGATCTTGCCACGCAGATCAATGATGCTTTTAGAATTGCCATGAGTGGACGACCGGGCCCTGTTCTAGTGGCGCTACCCAAAGACGTGACCAGTGCGGTTCTTGAAACCCCCGCTAGAGTGGCTTCATCCCAATGCCTCCCTAAATTGAATAACCCCATTTTACGATTTGATGCTCTCAAAGCCAACCGATCAGCGAGCATCAAAAGAAGCGCAGATCTTATCAACAAAGCTCAGAGACCTGTTCTTTACGCAGGTAATGGAGTGATTTCGTGTGCCGAGGGCCCGAAAGTGTTGGCACAATTAGCTGAAACTGCCTGCATTCCAGTTGCCACTAGTCTTCTTGGTATTGGATGTTTTGATGAGAACGATCCAAAGTCACTTCAGATGCTAGGAATGCATGGTACTGCATATGCAAATAAGGCGATCCAAGCAGCTGATTTGGTGATCGCTTTGGGCGCACGCTTTGATGATCGTGCCATCGGCGACCCCGATTGTTTTGCTCCTGTTGCAAGAGCGGCTGGTAAAGATCAACGGGGCGGCATCATACACTTCGAAATCCACCCCCCTCATATCAACAAAGTCATTCAGTGCAATGAATTCGTCCAAGGAGATGTTACCGCCAGTCTCACTGAGTTACTTCCTCATGTCCGGAAGGTGGAGAGCAGACCGGAGTGGATGGGCCAGATTTCTAAATGGAAGAAGACATTCCCGATCAAGCCGACGCCTCCAAAGCAAATGACACAAATATCTCCTGAGTGTGTTATTAGGCTTCTAAGCGACCTTACCGAAAAATCAAGGAAACAAACCATAATTACCACTGGTGTTGGGTCCCATCAGATGTGGGCGGCTCAGTTTTTCCGGTGGACTGTGAATCGCTCGCTGATCACTTCTGGGGGTGCAGGAACCATGGGCTTCGGGCTTCCTGCAGCCATTGGCGCCCAAGTCGCACGGCCTGACGCAATGGTCATTGATATTGATGGGGATGCATCGCTGAGTATGTCGATACAGGAGATGGCCGTGGCCGCGGAGTTTGGGATTAACATCAAAATCTTGGTACTCAACAATAATGAGCAAGCTATGGTCACACAGTGGCAGGCTCTTGATTATGACAAGCGATACTCCCACGCGCATCAACGAAATCCAGACTTTGTGAAGGTGGCTGATGGAATGGGCATCAAAGCTCAGCGATTGGATGCTGTGTCTGATGTCGCAGATAAACTTGAGTGGCTTATTCGCTCGGAGGGCCCAGCCTTACTGGAGGTGAAGGTGGAGGAAAAGGTTCCCGTGCTTCCATGGGTTACTCCCGGCAAGGCATTGGATGAGATGATCATCAATGCCAGCCAGATTGACACTAGTAGGAAATAGGTTGAAGATCATTTTGCGATAGTTCTTGCTGCGCGATTTCTTTTCAAAGCAATGAATAGCATAGTTTTATTTGATGTCATATATCGGAGACATTTAGGCTGATCTTTGCCTTATTCATCGGACTAAAGCATATTTGCTGCACAGACGAGCCGAGCCGAACGGCACAAAGTAAAATACTACGTCGGAGATTTGGCCGGAAGGGAGCTAAGACCGAGATAGAATCTAGAATCATCGGCAGACCACACTCGGCTCACATGCGAAGCCTGTGTATCGGGCCGGAATTGGCAATGAAATGCAGCTCAGATTAGCCTCGCGCATATGTAAATTACGTTGCGCAAAATTTAATATGCCGTTGGAGTGAACCTGCATATTTAAAGGCATAGTATGGTGTGGACGAATTAGTACGACATCTACTATTACATATATCCTTGTCTAAAACAGCCTTCATTGGTCCAGTACCAGAAGCCTTGCCGTCGCAGGGAGGCAATATTAGCTCGATATAATGGTTGTTCTCCCACAAAACCTGCATCCTCAAAATTATTGGTAGCTGGTATGGGGGCATAAGAATGTGAAATACTTCTGCAGTCGAACCTCGGACCGCAAAAGTCTCCGTACGGTCGACCTCTGGCAAGGTTTCAGTGGTTGGTAACGGCCAGACCGTAGCGTCATTTGGGTCCACTCCACCAAGGCCAGGGCAAACCACACCCTCTCGCTAAGTGGTGCAGTTGTCGTCCCGTCTGCCGTTTCGTGTAACGGCCACGGTCTAGAGACCCCGGAGCGTCTCACCTATCTCCGGGGTCAGATTTTCGGCTAGGTCTAGCTAGGTCTTTTAATCTCAAAGATTGCTTGGCACTTTAGTTTATCTAAATCCACAATTCAGTATACCATTGACTAAAAACTTCTTTGCTCAACGCAGCGCTACTAGCGCAAGAAAACACCAATCTACGCGCAGCGAATGAGAGGAAATGCCAGAAACGTACACGGTCAAATCGACAAATCCCACATGAAGGGGAGCTATCGGTTGAAGAAGGTCTACAGCTAGCTCTACAGCTAAACCAGCTAGTTGAACGTGGCTAGGTAGTATCGCTAGCGCAGGGCGATTTGCCTATTCAGCAAGATGATAATACTTTAGTAATCCCCCTTGGCAGCCTCAGGCCTTAAGGCCCTCACAAGAGTTGACGGAGATAGAGCAGATTTGCTTCATTATTTCGATTCTGCTCTTTGACATCTGCGTCACCTGAGCCACTTTTAACTACAGAGTGAAGAGAAATGCTCATCACCCAAGTTGAGAAAGGGCGTTGATGCCAACGATGGCATATTATTTGGTGTGAGGCTCAGGAAGCTGAGAGAGTGAAGAAGAAATTGATCATCAGCAAACAAACAAACAGAGAGCTATCTGGTTGGATAAAACTTATCAAACAGGACAAAAATGGTAGGTCATTCAACATTACTTAATGAAATTGTGGTGCTCTTTGCTCTTCCCTTTAGCCCTGTATGAACTATGGGTACTTTATACTTCTGATGACTAGTATTTAACTATAAGTATCCTGGGCACTTCCCTACTTGCTTCTTTCCTTCCTTCCTACTTCCATCTCTTCTCTTCCACCCATCACCATCATCACCATCATCTCCTTTCTTCCATCACTTTCATTGTCGCTTCACATTATGGCATCAGGACTTCCTACACACGAGCTACTTCTCATCTCGCCAAAAACGAGTCCGATAGATTCCTCGCCTCGTAAACGGAGGACGACCCCGTCTCCCGAGTCCATCCTGCCCAAAAATGTTGTGTTGTTCTCTCTCCAAAATTCCCATCTACAGCCCCTGGTAGCTCCGCCCGGGTATGATTTTCAAGTCATTGGTAAGTGATACCGACTATTTCAGACATGCAAAGCTAATTTCATATAGATTTCAAACCTCCCCCATCCTCTTCAACCAATCTTCACCGGCATCCCTCACTACATAGTCATCCCGATCCTGCAGCAGAACCGTGTTTACCTTCCTCGCGTGAAATCATTTTTCCTTTCGACCTGCGCCAATCTCCGTGGATGTTTTCCGAATCTCATATCCTCAAGCTTCTGATAGATCTTTTTCCAACTACACAGGCGGTTGAGTTTGATGACAGGATTCTGATCTTTCGCGTCGAAGTACTGCCACCGAAGCCCTGGCCAAAGCGAATTGCAGGTGTTCCGTGTTATCTGACGGACAATCCGAACGATAAGGGCCCAGCCATTCCCTTCCGCTATCGAAGTCGTTCGAAAATCCAAATCTCACAGGACCTTGATCTTCGAAATAAGAATGACTCACTGAACCTCATATCCGATCTAGTACGCCAGTTCTTTGAACAAGCTCGAATCCCAATCACTGAGATTCAGGTGTGGGGCCATATCGTCGTCATTGTTCTCGAAGATCGAATTGACCACGATGAAAATGCTATGGATAAAATTTTGCGGTCTGTTCCCCGTTCTGTTGCCCGTTGCACCTGCTTGTACCTTTCAGAGCATCACATGGATCGCCCCCGCACGCTGCCTGCTCAACGACTTCAAACCGCCTCTCCATCGCGATCTGACGGCTCCCAGTACGATATACTGAGACCAGGGGTGATGGTCAGCTCCGGTATAAATCTCAAAGGAGAGTCAATGCGTTCGTCCTCCGGTGTCCTTGTCCAAAATAATCTGGGCCAGAAATTCATGACTGTTGCTGCGCACGGGTTCCCTGCCGATGGAACCGTTTACCATCCTCATGCCGGTGGCAGGACAATCGGCAGACTTATTATGGAACTCACGCATACGGACGTTGCCTTGGTTAAGCTTGAAGATGGGGTGGAGTTTGTAAATGAACCATTCGAGAACACCCTAACGCCAGCAACTTCATTCCGACTCCGAGATTTCATTCGGATTGCAGAGACTCAGCAGCATGATCTGGTATACTTTGATAGTCCCTTCTCCGGTCTTGCTGAAGGCGAGCGAATGTCTAGAAACACCATGCGGGTTCCATCCGACGACCCCCAAGAGCCCCAGCAGATATGGTTTACGACACAATGGAGCTACATGGGACAAGATTCGGCTGCTGATATGGTTGACGGTGTTTGTGGTTCTGCCATTTGGAACGATGACCATAGAGTTCTCGGCTTTTTCTGTTACGCCCCGGTTGAAGGTTTATACAAAGATTATTGCCTGAGTGTTGCTGCAGATCATCTGATCGACGGAGGATACAGTGTGGTCTAGCCCCGTCCTTTCTTTCAGTTGTTTGCTTTCTTTATTCGAAAAGTCTGAGATCGATGGAGCCTGGGATATTCTTACTGTTTGCTGCGGAATTTGCTTAGTGGAGGCTTGCATTTTTTTAATTTTCCAGTTCATAATTTGCCCTTAGGGAAGGAATACAACTTACCCACAGAGATCTACCCTTGCTCGGTACCCCATTGAGAACGGAAGGGTTTGAAACTCATTAGTTTATCTCTCACTTATCTCCTACTTATCAATCACCTCATCTTCACTGTTGTGATCCTGCTCCTCTAAATTGGTGACCGAAACCCCAACGAAGCTCGAAGAAGTTTTATAACACTATATTCTTTGCGAGATGGTGGTCACCTGACCACTCTGACAGGTGCGGAAGGCACCAAGCCCCTCGGACTAGATAGTGGGCGTTTCGCCTAGTAGAAATACAACTCTCTCCCTCTTTCTTCCGCGCCACACATAGTAGCCCCTCAACATATATCAATAAGCCTTGATACCCTTACCTAAATGTCGGTGCCCTTGCTGTCCCTGTTGCAGGGTCCCCTGTTCACTATAAAAAAACGAACTTTCTGCCGCGATTCTACTCACCTTATATAACTATTTCCTAATACGAAGAAAATTGTATTTCATAGCTATCCCTTGGTGTTTTTGCTCGGCTACCCCTAAAGCCGTGGCCGGTAACTATTGCCGGAGTCTAACCATATTTCATAACGGGCCCGAATGATAAGGGTCTGATGACTAGCTTACAGCCGCTGTCGCTTCCTCGTAGATCGATCTTCCAAGAAAGTCCACTCCTCAGACGGCAATATGTGCTTCGCCTAGCGGCTTATATTTTGGTCCAGCAAGCACGACGATCTGTCTCTTTCCAATACCCGACATATTTCAATACGCACAGTCTTGCAAATTCCATCATCCATCTTAGTATAAAAAAGTAGGAAATTTTGAGCCGTGGGGTAACACTCTAACATCCCTCTGTATTCAATGAGGATTGCGATGCGGGGCGGCGTCGTAGGTCTTATGTCTTGGTTGGTGGTATCCATCAATCTGTTCACTTAGCTACAAACATGGACAGTGACTTAGGGTAGAAACATACCCTTGTAGAGAAAGGAAGGCCATGATGTCCAGGTATATTCGTCTGGCGGTTCCTCCGGGAGAAAGATATCAAGTTATAGAACCACGAGGTGAAGGATAAGACAGGCCACTTTGCACAGGTGGGATCTTAATGATTGAAGGCGTATCGTATGCTAGTAATCGAGGGTATGTGGATCGTTCGAAAATGTCTATCTCGGCGACTATCTCTTACCCCGACGTAACGTTCTCAATCCCTAAGAAAGACTCAATGGAGGTATTCCAATGGCAGGTCGAGAATATAGACTTGGTAAAAAGGAGACACTCAAAGAGTTTGATGAGAAAGCCCATGGACTCTGAGCCTATAAGGTGATCTGCCTTGTTGATGGCGATAGGAGAACTCGCAGACGCAGCACAACACGGTAAAATGTCCGAAGGCAAAGAGGCTGCTATTAGTACGCGCGATCAATATCCCTGGATTGTACTAGTATCCTGCATATTACCGCAACTATCGTAATTAGCTATGGTTCTCCAGGCTCAGGGCTCGCCGCTGTATGGTTGTTGTTTTCTGCGTGAGGCTAGCCATACGGATTTGCTTTCTTATGGCGGTCAAAGCGGGATTTTGATACAGACTTTGATGTATCCATCGTCGAAGTTCCGGAGGCTTAATCTCCATCTGGTGATCTAAAGATCTGACAGGCTACACGGCTTACTACATACACTATTGAATTCGTGGCGGACACAGTAGAATTCCAAGACAGTATACAGTCTATACCTTAAGCACACACACTTTTTTTCTCGGTCTGCCTAATAGAGACTCGGGTACTGTTTACTCCGTACTGCCCTATCAACGCATTGTCTCCAACTCATTGTCCCTCACCAACTCGTTATCCCCCGACAACGAACCCCTAACCGTTGTAGAGAACGAGAGTCAAAATTCTGTTATTTTGGTAAGATCTTGTTTTCCTTTGAAGTTCGACATGGTAGTATCTAATTCTTGAGAGTTTTCGAGTTTTGTTGTTTATGTTGTAGGGTTTCTCGTTGGGCAGCCATGCCTACGGAGAAAGGATCATCCGTTCCCGCCAATTTCTCAACCTCTGTAAGTCATGTGATCTCATTGCGCAATTAAACACCGAATAACTACACATAGTGTCAGAAATGGCATTGATCATGCCAAGAAGATGATATGGGAGGACAGGTCTTGGTGACAGGAAGTCTATACATGGTAGAAGCCACCCTGGAGATAGTCAAGAATGAGCCTTTCTAGAATCAGCTTGTGCCCTGTCATCGAGGACTCCCGAATGATAGATGGATTAGCGCTAGCGCTATATCAAAGTCACTCCCCAGATTTTGAGAGAAAGATAAAAAGCGTCATATTTTCATTTCAGTCTCTTGCTGCAATAGCAGGCCTTCCACTTTCCTTCGCAAGCTCGTCAAGTTTGTCGAGCCAGGCAGTTCCCTTTGAGATCAACAACAGTTCTCGCGGTAAACCAACTTTTTACATCTCATCTTCCTACACCTTGCTGTCATATTCTCGCCTTGTAATCATCTATCTCTAGGTAAGGCTCACTTCTATCTCCTTGTCAGGTTCCTACCCTGTGAGCACTGCATATTTCCCTTCTGAGATCAATGCTCACTTCTCTAACTATTCTTTCATTTAGATCCCATGCATCACGACTTGAGCCTTTTCATCATCGTTGATCCCATCGCAACTCAAGCTCCTCACTCCCAATTACTTCCCGTCACTTGCTCATCCACGCAGCCCAACTTACACCTTGATATTTACAATCGGGCCTGGAACAGACAGTTCCTGAATCCTCTGCATTTCTTCAATATTCACACGGCAATCTAACAGAATCGCCCAATATGTCTTCTAATGGGCCACTGACACCCGCCCCGCTCAAGATGGTCCTCACAATCACCACCAGGATATTGCCCCAGAGGACGAGACCTAGTGAGTACACATTCCAGGTATATTTAGTCCAATGGCTAATGACACAAGCTGCCAGGCCGAGGAACCCGGCCACCACACTGTTGGGGCTCCCCTAAGAATCCTTGCTGGACAGGCTGGCGACGCAGATATTGCTCCTGATGCCTGGGCTAGGTTTGCTACGATGATACCGTGGCAGGTGGCTCGAAACGGGCGCCACATCAAGACCAAGGCTATTGCCTTGCTTATCAACGCCGTGCCAGCGAGAGAGCCACTTCAGCGATCAATCACTAGAGAGCGATTGGACGAGCGTATTGGAAGCAAGGCCGCAAAGTTTGAATCAGTTTTGATTCAGATTGTGGGGGAAATTCCGGACAGGAATGCACACACTGCTCGCGAAACAATGGGCCCTGAGCAAAATGCATTAGGTTTCTCGACATCGACCGCATTGTTACAGCCTGTGGTAACTGTCAGTGGAATGTCCAGGAGAAGCGTTGTGACTATTACAGCCACCCACTAGTCCTAGATACTCCCCGAGGCCACCAGCGCGGCCGCTCGTCGCGCTCCTCAATCAGCCCTCTGAAGCTTCGACTAAACATAACCACGCAAAAGGCCGATGCTGGCATCGCTCTGATTAAAAGAATGGAACAGGCTGTTCGCAAATTGCAGGCCGAAATTGCCATTGATGACCGCAACGCAGCCATCCATGAGGCGATACACGCAGATAACTATACCGAGCTGATCGTTCCAGCTCGGGCGTTGATCCCAGCGACAACTCCCGAACAGCGTACAAGGCAATTCGACGATATCCTAGGAATGATTGCAAACCTGAAGGAGCTTTACTCCACGATCCAAGGCATCTAAGGGAACAGAATGCAAGGACATGGGGGATTTTCACGTTTCGATCATCCTATTGCTGCTCGGTGTCTACGGTTTCGTCGACAGAGTGACTACCAATTCACCATTCGACCAAGCACTATCAATTTTGCCCCGGATCAAGGTCTCTCCGTAGTATTCATCATTCTCGAATTCCGCAGTGCTGGCACCCTCCGGTAGTAGGCCCCGTTTGTTTGGGAGTGGATCTCCCTTGAGGGCACAAGAATCAAAGTTGATTATCACTGCCGTCTGGCCCTCTCGATCTGTAAACATAACTTTGCTTGGTGGATATCGTTATGGGCACATTAAGGAATGAAGATGATTGATGCCCGCCTTAACCTGCCGGAAGTTCTACCGAGCGGTCTGCGAGCGTCTCCGCGTACTTTTGGAAGCAAAGCCCAGTAATACAGCCAGAGTTTACCGTACAGCCCAGGGCGACATTTTCATGATGATTATTCTATCCGAAGAATTGAGTTCATTGGAAATTATATTGAAATGATAGTAAGACGCACGTGGGCTATCACAATCATTCTTCACGTATCTTTGCAAAATGACCTCGCACTTGCCAATCGAGTCGTTCCTTCCTGAACTGTAAGCGAGGTCGGGGCTTGCATGGTTTGTGGCGAGGGAGAGCACAAAACCCAGTTAAGGAGATCGTAGATTATTTTCTTTTTCTTTCCCTTCTCTGTACTTAGAATTCAGAATTGATTGTACTCTTTTCTTCTGGAAAGAACTGGCATATAACACCTGGAATGAATATTCGATCGTACCAAGCTGATGAGATTTCTATTAGTCTACGCAGAAGCGTTCAGGGTTCGAATCGGCTTTTAGGAAGTATTTTGATGCATAAATTTTTTAATTAGCACCGCTCGTTATACCGTCTATACAGGAATAAATGATCTTTGTATTAAATGAAGCTTTCGGCACCATAAAATTCATGTATCTCAATTTTTGGAGGTCATTGGCAAGCTCTCTCTCTGAACCACTTTGATTATTAAGGCTTATGGAATGGTATTTCAGGCACAAAATAAGGCATCTAGGCATCAAATCCTTCCTGAAGAGGGTTTCGAACCCCGAACGCTGTGTCTGCGTACCCCGGGGAGGGTCCTCTGACAGAGAATTAGGGCCCACTACTCCGTACTCTGTAAAGAAACCGACCAAAGAACCAAAACATCTGAGTCAGAAAGTCGGTCTAGGCTTTTGGAGATGAGTCATTGCCAAAAGCACAACTGTCAGTACTCCGTACATCAAGAACTGGTTATGAAAACGAGATGAAGTCGAGGTCGCCATGTAAAGGATACTGGCACCTCCCGTCTTAGACCAATTATCAAGGATATTGAAACCAACGTGCCACTAAAAATGTCAACCTAAAAGGCTCTCCAGCATAAGGTACCAAGGTTGACATGTCAATAACCCCACCTCTGTGTTTCGCCTGCATCCACATTTCGGCATTCTCGGAGATGGCTCTATCAGGTCGGTCTCCAGTGGCGACCCTAGACCTTCTTCTCGGGATGGAAATCAGTCAACTATCATGATTTCATAGCAACACGAGAGGCTTCCGTAGACTCGGAAGCTGTGTATCTAGGAACAAGCGAGATTAGGAGCCTTTTGATATAACTTTGTATGTAGACGTAATATACAAGTTGTACATCGTAACCTTGGAAACCATAAAGCCCTCTAAGAAGTGGACCGAGCTTTTAAGATGTGGAGAAGAGATTGGCGACGCAATGTGATTGGATCAGATTGGCTGACTCAGCTTGGATCGTACGAACGTTATGGCATTATCTCGGATTATTGACCGGCCCGGTATTTGAGCGGAAAAAAACCGGGTATTCGGTAAAGTCGATGATCGGTTCTGTTATATTCTTTCCTCCTTAACAGATTCATTGACCTCTTTCCTCTTTGTCTTGAAATCGAATTTCCTAATCCCTGAATATTCAAGATGATTACGTCATACTTATTGCCCGCCGACAGCTTGGTGCTTGTTACAGGTGCCAATGGTTTCATCGCATCCCATACCATCGACCAGTTGCTTGCGAAAGGTTTCAGAGTGCGGGGCACAGTTCGCGCTCCTAAGCCTTGGCTCAATGCCTTTTTCGATGAGCGATATGGAAAGGGGCGCTTTGAAACCCTGGTTATCACCAACCTCGGTGATGCCCAAGAATTGGACAAGGCAATGAAGGGAGTTTCAGGTGTCATCCACATGGTCAGTTCTATACACAACCATTTAAGAAGGCAATAACTTTAAGTTTCTAATCATTTTGTCAATAGGCATCTGATCTGACTTTCAGCTCCGATCCTAATGCCGTCATTCCTTGGGTGAAGGATTCTGTGCTCAAGGTTCTTGAAGCTGCATCTCGGACTGAGACCATCCAAAGGGTGGTTCTCACTTCGTCGTCACGAGCTGCCTTTACCTCCTTGCCCGGTACCACCAAGGGTCTTACTGTAGAGGATAGTAAGTATTTCGCGCATTCAAGTCTTACCCATTGCAAGAGACGCAAACTAACACCCTTCAGATACATTCAACGACGATTCAGTCAAGGCAGCATGGGATCCAGATACCCCAGCGGACGTTAAGCCTTTTGCTGTGTATTCTGCGTCTAAGACAGAATCTGAGAAGGCCGCATGGGAATGGATGAAAGAGAACAAGCCCCACTTCGACTTCAACACTGTGCTTCCCGACTTCAATGTGAGAATTTCCAATCCTAAAGAAAGCCACGAACTTTACTGACCAAATGTCTTTTCATGGTTTAGACCGGAAAGGTCCTTCACCCAGAGATTGGTGGCTCGACCATGGGCTATGTGCGCAAGCTTCTCAAGGGAGATAGCAGCCCCTTCGAAACTTTCCCTCCCCGTAAGATCCCTCTTTCTCATTTCCCAGTCTTTTTGAACATTATCTAATATTTGGTCCCTACAGAGTGGTATGTCGATGTTGAGGACACTGCTCGTCTCCATGTCATCGCACTGCTCAGCCACGAAGTGAAGTCCGAACGGCTCTTTGCTTTCGCAGAATCTAAGAACTGGACAGACCATGTTGAAGCTCTTAGCAAACTGCGCCCCGACAACAAGTTGATCCCCAAGCCTCCCGTGAACGAAGCTCGCGACGAAGCAAATGTCGTTCCAGCTAAAAGAGCCGAGTCTCTACTCCAATCATTCTACGGCCGGCCAGGTTGGACTCCATTCCACGAGAGTCTCGCAGCTGGCATCGAAGGCTTGGAATAGATGTGCGATGAAGAGTTTCTTATGTGTTGGAAATGAGGGTACCAGCTAGTATATACTAGTATTCATTTTGAATGCTGCATGACCTCTGCATGGGAAATAGCTCACAACAATACATATGTACCGGATAATGCCTGGCACTCAAAACCTTTCCCTTTCCGTTTTAGTGCTCACCTCTTGCCACTTTTCGATCACTGAGTAAAACTGAGCACGCCCCTGAGTATTCTGGCTTGATCACGTGCCATTACATAATCAACCTGATCTGCTCACTGAGCATCACCTGATCATCCCTGAGCACCCTGATCCACTCACTGATCATCATCTGAGCACTCTGATTTGCTCACTGAGTGCTCGCTGAGTATAGGGATAAGCGGCATGAGTAAGCTACATCAATAAAATGCGACACGCTAATCCCATCACGTGCAACCATTCCCATGCCCATCAAAAAATGTTGGGTGACCGGAAGGCGGTCACCCATGTGGGTCCAGATCACTAGATAGCTCCGCTCCCTCTTTCTCTCTCTCTCCTCGTCCATCAGATCTTAGCGAATCCACACTAGTTGTTTTCCCTTTTCAGGCACAACGTAGTTAGATACGCCATTAAAAAAGGACAGGCACAATCAACGTGACCGTTCGTCCTAGCGGTCTCGATCCTATCTAAGTAAAAAATCTCACAGTGGGGCTATTCAATTGACCCGCCATTTTACTATTTCAGCCTATGTTCCTACTCCTAAGCACGGAATGCCAAGAGATCAATCAACTGATAATGGATAGGGGAGAAGTCTGTCTTAGTATCTACATGGATATATTCGTACTGTAAACGGCGGACCTGTGAATTACTACATCGGGTTAGTTTTGCCTTTTTGGGCTTAGCGCCCCAATACGCTGTCAACCAACCTTCAATGCCGACATAAAAGACCCGTCTTGGCGTCCTGTTCTCTTCTGCACCTTCGGCACAACAGGACGCTAACCCCACGCGTCCGCCACTCGAACCCAATAATCGTTCGGACAGTGGGTCAGGTGATCAGCTTATGCTCTCGCCACAGGTCGATGGCACGGGAGATTCAGTGTATACCGTCACATTGACCATTCCGTTGAGCGTTGGGACATTGAATATTTCCCGCACAACGGAAACGAAGATGATGGCTCAGCTGTTATTGTGTCAATTGCAAAATTTACATCAGGTATGCCAGGGTCTTGATCGACGGGTCCAGGGTGCTGAGAATATGCGGGGAGAGAAGAACCTATGTGCAGGGTCCAATGCGCAGCTCCTAGAGAAGGTGGACGAATTGCAACGTGTGTTGGCGGCGGTCTGTACGCAGATACCGATGTAGAATATGTGTGCGACTTTTCAAGAAACAGGAGTGGCATATTGATGATCTGGTCTGTAGTCTCCAGGCTTCCTCTTTATAACGTTCTTCTTCTTTTAGGCTGTAGTCATGGTCTCAATCGTTGGCTATCTGCCCCGGATTCGGACGCCTTTTGGCCACCTGCGCAAACCCGTTTCATTTCATTCCTGACAAAGCCGCGTTCAATCCTGGACACACTCCAGTTAGCCAAGACGAGCGTGGGAAAAGAGGGACTCGGCACAACGAAAGTGCGTTGGCGAGGGCTATCTCGTGTTCTGGCTGGGTCTAGCACCGCTCGCGTTGGCTGTGACTTGGCTGTGACTTGGCTGTGACTTGGCTGTGACTTGGCTGTGACTACTCATATGATGAAGACGCCGAGATCGAACCCCCCATTTAGACTGTCTGCTTCTGCTCATTGAATAATCCAGACTCAGCCGCAATGGCGGCCTCACTGCGCAAGCTCATGGGACGAAGGCATTTTGGGGCGAGGAACAACGGGAGATGAACTTAAGTAAGCTCCATGTGGCCTTGGAACTACGCGAAAGACACCTACGGCAGCGATGGAGGTGTCGAATCGAATTGGGTGGCTATACTTTCCACTGCAAGCAAAGCTAGCTAGGTAGAGCAATGATGACAGGTATATATCTCTTCAACCTCCTACTCCCACTTTCTCCTTCTTTCTCCACTATATCCATGGACAGCTCGT